AAGAATAAAATGAAAATAGCTGTTTAACAAGGAAAAACATCTTATATTAAAAATAAACAGTAAAATCAATAAAATATTATTAATGGTTATTTGTTACAATGAAGTAAAGAAGGAAAAGAGAATAACACTCTTATAATTATAAAATTCACTTGTTTTCGTTGTCCGCTTGACCAATTAATCTTTCAATTAATTAAGGTTTTTAGTTGAGATAAAAAAGTCAATGTCACGAGCGGGATTCGAACCCACGACTTTCGGCTAGATACGCCGCTGCTCTACCACTTGAGCTATCGTGCTATCGTGACTTCGATCCACTCGGACACTAACTTCCCATCTCAACCCCACCTTTTTGAATTTTCCCTCCTTTTTGCCATTTTTCAAATGTCGTGTAATCTATTTGATTCTCGGCGACAATTAAAATGGCCACGGAGAGCTTTAGTGAAGTGTACTGCATTTTAATTCATTAAATTCACTAATTTCGTGGTCCGCTTGACCAATTAATAACTTTTATTCATCTCAACTAAAAACCTTAATTATTTATAATTATAATTGAACTTGATTAACTAAGGCTAATATATATATAGGCTGGGCCCAAAAGAAATAAAGATACTTTGAGGATTTATAGGAAATTTCATGCTGAACAAAAAAGGTCCTAAAAACTTGGTCTTTAAGGAGTTTTTTCACGTATTAATAGTGGGATAAAAATGAATGAATTTGTACTATTCTTGACGCATGTAACGACAAAACTTTTATTTTGTTTTCTTAACGCAATAAAACTTTTGTATCTTTTGTTCTCAAATGAAGCCTTCTATGAGAAAACGCAAAAACCTCTAAAAGCCACGTTTTTTTAAATCTTTTTTTTTCAGAAATTTCTCCCATATGGTTCCATGTCTCAACATACGTATCGGGAAAAAACCTATTCGATTATTAAATTTTGAGTAGAAAGAAACCAACCGCACGTCCTTTTAACTAATAATATTTCAGGTCGATCGATCAGAGAATTAATGGACGTCCCACGAGACGGGAATGAAACAGGGAAATGGGATATCCGGTTGTTGTTTTTTCTACTGATATACCAGCATTCCAGGTATTCGGAATTGTTGACTTTGATCTCAGATTTCGAGCCCAACTGCCCCACTGAGGTTTCTCTTCTGCGTCCTATGCTTGCTTGGTTTCGATAGATAGAAATCTATTCTCTCATAACTCTTGGAAATGGTAATTCACAAAGGTATCTAAGACAAAATTTAATATTGGTAAGAGATGGATCGACCTTGTGTAGATTCGTTTGTGTGATAATCAGGAATTTATATTTTTTATATTTTAATTGTTGTTTTTATGGGTTATTTATTTATTATCAAGGATTAATAAACATGTACATAAAGAAGTTGTAAATTAACTCAGTAAGTAGACAATATTTAAAATTATCATTTCGACTATAGTTATATTTTTCTTTGTATTAGGCCCTGAAGATGTTTACAAATTAAACGAAAACTTGGCATGAAGTTGGGAGTTTCTTTGTTTCTGTGACCGAACACCTGATTATCACACAAACAAAATTTAATGTCATCGTTAATGTTTATCATTATTCGGAGATCGTGAGATGTGATCTGATGTGACGTAGGTTCTAGAAAAACATTTTTTTTATCGTGCCAACGTTTCGATCTTTATTGAGATCATCTTCGGGGCCTGGGATTTATAAACATTGTTTAAATTTTACAAACACATGTAGGATGTCGAAACAAGTGAATTTATGGAATGCAAAAGAAAAAATGAATTTATACAATGCTAGAAATTTTAGATAAAAAATAACAATAATAATGAAGTTTCCAACATTGTATAAATTTATTATTATTATTATTTATTTAAATCTGACGTAGGTTTTAGAAAAAACTTTTTTTCTTTATGGTGCCAATGATTCGATCATTATTGAGATCATCTTCAGGGCTCAAAGTGTATGTTTTCCGTGTAGATGTGTCATTCCCAGGCCCTGAAGGTGATCTCAATAAAGATCGAAACGTTGGCACGATAAAGCAAATGTTTTTCTAAACCTACGTCACACCAGACCGCATCTCACGATCTCCAAATAATCAAGTTTACATAATGTTGTTACAATAAATTACAACAATGGCGAAAAGTTAGCAACAGTTTCGTATTTCTAGCGGCAACATAATAATATCTTTTACTTTAAAAGTAGTGTTGCATAAGCATAGACTCTAAATCGGTAAAAAAAGAGCTTTTAAATTAATGTAGGTAAGAATAGGTAAACATAATTATCTACAAAAATTCAGAGTCTTTTTTCCCCCTGTGTTAATTAATCTTAAAATATGAAATAAAATTTAAAGAATGTTAGTAATTTATCTACGGCTACATGACGGGGCTACACAATTAATAATTAAATTATTATTAAGCTGTATTTCCGAGCTTTTCTCGTAAATTGAATTAACTGTTAATATTTCAAATTTGTAACAATTAGTAGACCAGCGAAGATTTTCTCATATCAACCCAAAAAATTGGGCGTTTACGAAGGAAACAGTGTAGATGCTTCTAGCATATCATTAGAAATGATGCTAAGCCTACTTCCATTGAAAATGTATTATACGAGGAGAAGCTAGGTTCATTCAGACTCTCCGAAAACAATTAAATTGGATAGGGCCTAAACATTTCAGGCATTCAATAATAATTAATTGAATCTGATACCCATTCCTACAAATGGGGACTAAATGTATGATCTCGGAAACGTTCAATTTGTTTCAACATCCTATAAAGTCTCGATGGACTAGAAAGAAAAAAAGAAATCAGATGTAATGATTCTGTAGCAAACAGAACAGAACTGCTCAAAATAAATCAAGGAACCAGATCATGTTTTTTCAGTATAAGTGCAATGATGTTTTGAAGATATTTTCTACGCTAGCGGTTCTGGGTTCGAAGCCCTGCATTGCCCCTTGAATTTTATTTGAGATTGATTTGACAAAAACATCATAAAGTGGTTTGTCAGGGTTTAACTTATTACTGTTAGTAAAAAAAGCCAAATAGCTATTCTAATGTCATTGCTTTTTGAAGCGCCTGCAAATAAAATTCCCAGTCATAATACTGAACGCAAGTCAGTCTTTTTCTGAAGCGTATGTTTTTGTTCTAGATTCAAGGAAGTTGTGAGTATCACTTCACAATGGAAGATAAACAGTTTTTAAACGCACTCCCTAATATAAAAAGTATAATAATGGGAATAAACCGACGGATGTTGAACCTGCGTGCCATACATGGAAATCATCAACTTTCGAGACGTTTACTCTTTCCTTATCCAAATTGTTTCATTTAAATTTCCTTGTTTATACTGTATATGGCAAGCCGTTAACAGTTCTGAACTAAATTCTTACTGAGTCATTTGATGAATATGTTTAAATTAAGTATGGAGACAAGGGGAGAAAATAAAAAACATAAATTTAACATAAAAATTAAAAGTTAAGCGTTATTACTTTCACATAACATCTTGAATCAACTTCGTGAAAAATTGTTTAATCATAATCGTAATTGTAATAGAAATATTACACGTAAACAGTTCTTTTCTGCATTGCAATAATTGCAGAACTTCACCTAGTTATATTATGCAGACCCATAATATGTTGGGAAGAGAGGGGATCCGCTGTCGTGTGTCGGACGTATGGAGTTCTTAGGTTTATGGATCCAAACCCATCAAGTCGTTTCAATTTTATGAAAAATTGCAAAAACCCATTTGAAAATCTGTTCATATAAACGTTAGACATACATGTACAAAGTTTTAAATTGCTAATATCCTGCCCAGTTTTCTAAAAACAACTCAACCTAGAAAAACTGTGAACAATATGATTTTAGCATAAGCACTTCTTTCGTATATTGCAATAATTGCCGTTTTTTAAACTTCTTAAAAAAAACCATTATGGAGGTATTGGTTGAGATAAAAAGTCAGGGTCACGAGCGGGATTCGAACTCACGATCTTCCGCCAAATACGCCGCTGCTCTACCACTTGAGCTATCGTGACTTCGATCCACTAGGACACCAACTTCCCATCTCAACCCTACCTTTTGGATTTTCCCTCCTTTTGTCATTTTTTATCTCAACCAATACCTTTCATAAAGATTAATTAATTGAAAAAAAGTTAATTGGTCAATCGGGCCACGAACTGTAATGGATTTAGCTTCTTAAAAAAGTTAAAAAATGAAATTTTATTTTTCAAATGGTAACCTACATTGTCATTTATGGATTTATCAAGTCGTTTCAATTTTAAGAAAAAGTGCAAAAAAACCATTTGAAAATCTGTTAATATAAACGTTAGACATACATGTAGAGAGTTTTAAATTGCTAATGTCCTGCCCAGTTTTCTAAAAACAACTCAACCTAGAAAAACTGTTAACAATATGATTTTAGCATAGTTCTTCTTTCATACATTGCAATAATTGCGTTTATTTATTTTAAACTTCTTAAAAAAGTTAAAAATTCCATTTTTTATTCTACGAATGGTACGTAACCCACATTTTCATTTACGTTATAATATACACAACTTAGTAGATTAATTTTTTATCATAAGCACTACCTTTTAACATTACGCTAATTTCGGGTGTTTTCATTGTTCTTCTGAAATAAAATTCCTTTCTCATAAACAATGACACATTTTAAGAATATGCAGAATAAATATAAGGTTATAATTGAAAAAATATGTTAATTTTGAATTAACAGAACCTGTAGAAAAAGTTTAAAAAAACAAAAATAGATAGATGGATAGATGGTTGCAATACCTTTTTTGATATCTTGTTTTCCTTTTAATTAAAATGGCTTGCCGGTATGAAAAGAGATACCCGATATATTATATGTACATATATGACACGTGTTCATTTAATTGTTAATTTACCAACGTCAAGCGAACATAGAAATTGTAAAAGCTTATCTTTAACATTTTACGATTAATTAATTTTTATAAAAGGTAGCCAAGAGATGTGTTATAATCTTTAAAACGTGACAAAAATTATTCCATTATCACAGCAACACGGGAAATCCAACTCACAGAAAACCCATATAAAAAGGTGGTATGTGCAGTGAGAAGGCTAGAGAGTAGATTGATCATGCAGTGGAACGTAAGTTTTGTACTCTCTTATAATAATTGTTATTTATTAATTAGTTAATAGTGGTTCTGGATTATATTTCAGGTGGTGTTTATAGCGGTACTGGGGGTATTTAACGTACAATATGTTTTGTCGGATGAATTAGTAGCTGAAGGGCAGAATGTTGGTGATCTGGTGGATAACGATGATTTATTGCCCACTTCTGGTGATCTGTCGAGAGTAAGCAGAGATTCCGGTCTTGTGGGGGATCTTCTTACACCATCTTCAGAGTCTGAACCTGGAAGTAGTCAAAATGGTGGTCTTCCAGGCGGTTTGCTCGGAGGTCAAAATGGTGGTGATGGACAAAGCGGAGGAGTTGTGCCGGATCTGCTTAAACAACTGCTAGGACCTGTACCTGGAAGTGGTCAAAATGGTCTTCCAGGCGGTTTGCTCGGAGGTCAAAATGGTGGCGATGGACAAAGCGGAGGGGTTGTGCCGGATCTTCTTACACAGCTGTTAGGGCCTGTAGCTAGTAGTGGTCAAAATGGTGGTGATGGTCAAAGCGGAGGAGTTGTGCCGGATCTTCTTACACAGTTGTTAGGACCTGTAGCTGGTAGTGGTCAAAATAGTGGTAATGGTCAAAGCGGATGTGCCGGATCTTCTTACACAGCTGTTAGGACCTGTAGCTGGTAGTGGTCAAAATAGTGGTAATGGTCAAAGCGGAGGAGTTGTGCCGGATCTTCTTACACAGCTGTTAGGGCCTGTACCTGGAAGTGGTCAAAATGGAGACCTTCTAGGCGGTTTGCTCGGAGGTCAAAATGGTGGTACTGGACAAAGCGGAGGGGTTGTGCCGGATCTTCTTACACAGCTTTTAGGGCCTGTACCTGGAAGTGGTCAAAATGGAGGCCTTCTAGGCGGTTTGCTCGGAGGTCAAAATGGTGTTACTGGACAAAGCGGAGGGGTTGTGCCGGATCTTCTTACACAGCTGTTAGGGCCTGTACCTGGAAGTGGTCAAAATGGAGGCCTTCTAGGCGGTTTGCTCGGAGGTCAAAATGGTGGTACTGGACAAAGCGGAGGACTTGTGCCGGATCTTCTTACACAACTGTTAGGGCCCGTACACGGAAGTGGTCAAAATAGTGATCTTCTCGGCCTGCTTCTCGCCCAGCTTCTCGGAGAATTAAGTGGAGGCAACGGAGGAGGAAATTGTAACAACAATAACGGAGGCGACAAAGGTTGTGGAGGAAAATGCAGTTGTCAAGACGGTGATAATTGCTCTGGAAAACCTGGTACCACGCTCAAATGCGTATGCCAATGCACCGGTAATATTAACGGGAAATTTCCTTGTTACCTTTACCAGCCAAGCTATGCCACTTATGGAAATCCCAGTTTTGGTGTCCAACACTACTCATCATATTATGACCCATATAACTCCTTGGACGGGGGTGGACAAGATTTAGTGGGATTGGGAAGCGAAAATGTACTTGTTTCAAATGACCTCTGAATGCTGACAGTGTACTCGTATGATTTGGTTTGTGTACCTCCCTCCTCATAAAAATTACTTAATTATTGTTAAATCTGAACAATTCATAATTGTAACTTTCATTGCATGAATAAAATACTAAAACTTTCAAACTTTCCATCAACTTTTCTTTAACTAATTAACAAAACGAGTTTTTTCCCAACCTGAAGAATAAATCTTTACCCTCATTTATTTCTACACGGATTAAAAAGATGTATAGGACTGAAATTAACAAAGAAAAACTGCAAGAAAAAAACTTGAAAATTGCATTTAAAAAAGGTCAAAAAACTCTTTAGGCCATTAGGCATGGTTAAAAGGGCCTTTTCCACGATAATCTTAAGTGCTATTTGGCAGAGAAAATTATGAGTGAATAAATAAGAGAGAATTTCAAGGGGGAAAAGTTTAAAAAACACAAATTAAAATGTGGTCAAACTTTTGCTGTCTGGAATAATTTCTTTACTGCCCACATGGGAGATGAATGAGGGGAAACGTTTCATTAAAATTCTACCTCAACAGATGCGAAAAATATATTATTACATTTTACATATACATATATTATATGGTTTAAGTTATTATTAAGTTTTGCTACCTTTGGTGATGTTGCTCATTTAATTTCGGTAACATTCATTTGAAGAAAAAAAACATTATTATATAAATTGACAACACACAAGAAGATATTATATCATCAACATCTCAAGATAAAATGCAATATATGGAAGTTTATTGTTTTTCATAGTTAGTTGTTTAACAAAGTTTCACGTCAAAGAATTAATTGTGTTTTGGTAGTCAGCCAACAGTTTTAGAACCTAAAAGTCTTCATAGCTGTCCAACTCTTCTGATAAGTTCAATTCTTATGTGAAGATTTCACGCCAGGCTGCTATCTAGGCTCCTACAAATCTAACTTAAGCGGATACAGCTACTTCGTCTGTTAGGTATGATTTCAGTATGAAATCAAAACAGAATGTTATAAACCAGCCAATACTTGCTTAAGGGGCGAGGAGTTAAAGTTATCGTCGTTTAAGTCGAGGTGGCTGCTATTCGGGATGGGAACGTGTAGATGCTTGTGCTTGATAGTTAGGATAGAGGGAAGTTGTGGAAGTTTTGGAAGCGGGATCAGATCCGTTCATGACCAAATGAATATTGAAGTCGTTATGATTGATGAGGTAACTGACGCAATAAGACATTTTGACAATTTGTCTTAGAAATTTCGATTGGAAGAATTCCATGTGTTTGGCGGGACCAAAGCTTCTCTCCATATGTCTAAAAGTGGTCGCAGTAATCTCTTGTAAAAAGTTAGTTACGTTTTCATTGTTAAAGCAGATTTCGTTTCTAAAAGTTTTCGCAGTTATCCGTGTTTGGTTAAATTTTTATTCTTAAGTAGCATTGTGTGTGGGGTTTCATGTCATTCTGCTTATTATTGTTATTACAATGTTCATTTTTCTTTATTCAGTCATGTTTTCACTTGGATGTTGGAACTTGCTTGGATATTATTCGGGTTAGTAGACAGACTTGAGGTATCTTGCGCGTCGGTGATGGTATTGAGTTGTATAGAGAAGTCGGAAGTATAAATGCAAAAATCATGAGGCGACGATTGCTCAATTTTTGGACGACTGTATCAATCTGACTAAAGCAGCGGTCAATAGGATTCAAGAATAAGGTAAAAGGAATGAGTAGAAATTGGGCTTTGATACTTTTTTTTATATACAAAAAACAAAATCAACGTGGTGGACATCGTTGATCAAAGAGTCAGCAGCGTTCCTCGTTTCGATTAAAACTAATATAGTAAACAACGAACATCAATCTTGGTTAGCTTAGCCAGTATTATTTGATCCTTTGCTTTAAGTAGTTCGTGCTCCGCATTCCTAATATTGTTCCTAAGTACCACCGGGTGATGAACGCTTGGCCAAATGCTAAAATTGATTAGAGTTATAAAGGAGAGTTCGTCAACTGTGAGTAAAGCTGTGTACTTACTTTCAGCGTGTTGACATTATTTTATTATTATTTAAAAAAAACAACTTTTTATCTTCCTTATCTATCCTTTAGCTCATATTACAATAAATTCAAAATTCCTATTTGACGACGCGAGAACTAACCATCTTTCGATCCAAGCCGACCGAACTTTTTTTTATATATTTTTATTTAACCGTTTGAGTAGTAAACTAGCTGCAACAACCGCCAGATATGACAGACTCCATTCTATTTTAAAAGGGGGGAAGAGATCAAAGTAGGAAATAGGCAATAATGAATGGCAAACTAGAAAACGAAACCCCTGATATTCCCATGATGCAGGTTTCAAATTCGCATACTTTTGAACAAAAAACTTTCTTGTGTAACAAGAACGTAAAAGATGATTGCAGAGGATCAATCTGTTCAAGTTAGTAGTTCCGACCCCATAAGGGAAGGACTGCCTCTTTTTTGGCTTCTTTATCAGCCTTTTCGTTTCTTTCTATGCCTTCATGTCCCAGATACACCTCAAGGTTACCTTGATGACTTTTCGTAGTGCCATTAGGCAAGTTAGGCACCCCTAGATTAGTTTGGAGTTATAAATAAATGCATGTAGCAACTTTATAGCTGCCTGGCTGTTCGAAAGTATTTAGATCCGCACACCTTTGATTTTCTTCTTTACAAATTTCTGTGTCCAGAGTTGTATTAGCTGATCTCAGTTGGGATAAACATTTTGGAACCAATTGTAATTCGGTCCCTTTTCCCTTTTCAGCATATTAGGGTCCTTTCTTGAAACTTGTGATTGCTTTTTCTCCAAAGATCCCTGTTATCTAGCTTCCATCTCATTTTGTCATGTACTGTTATGTCACACTCATTTACTTTAGTTCTCTCCATAATTTTGTCATTTCTTCTCCTTAGATCTGGTTTTTATGATTTTGTGGGACAAGTATGCAGGTAGGGCCATGTTATGTTAAAATGAGCTAGTTTCTGCAGGCTTTTATTATTATATTAGGATTAATATTTAATCAGTTGCCAACAATTAAGCATAATATAGTTGGGTGGCGGATTATTTAGATTTATATATTATGGGGATGGACTGAAAAATGAGTTTTATGTTAATTGTTGATAAATTGTTTTATCGGATGTTATCTAATTCCTCAAAGTCTTAAATCATTTTACATTACACCCAGACAGTTTTTAAAGTTTTTTTTTACATTTCTATCCAAAAGGCGAAATGATAATTTGCAATGTTACCTCGGCGGAAGAGATGCAAATGCCGCCGTCGGGAATTCCGCTGACACGTTCGACAAAGTTTTCGTAATGAGAGCACATTAATATTTCAAAATTCTGTATTATCTCAGGTATTTATTTATCGTGACGAGAAACGCCGTACCGACCTTGCATTCAGATTTTTTTTTCTTTTTTTTTGCGAGGGTGGGCTTAACTGGAGACGAATTATCCAGGCCACTGCCGTTTATATTAAAGAAACGCAGGTAAATTTGTAATCGTCACCACCAGCTTAGGAAGATTGAATTAACTAAGAGAACCTAATGCGCTAAATGAAGTTGAACCCCGAGACTTCCACTCAATTCCCTTTCCTCACCGAGTAGAACTGAGAAAAAATTTATACATAGCTCATAGTTGCTGTTTAAAACACGATTAAAATGTTCGAGCGTCAGATTCAAAACATTAAAGCAATTAATTTTTGACGAAATTTTATTAGTGAAATTGCAAGTAAAATATTTTTGATGATTATCTAAACCCCCCATCAAAAAAAATATATATAAACTTACTGGTGTATATCGTACTATACTCAGAATATTTCAAATCAAACAACCAGGCACATGCACTTCGTTAATCGATCATCCTTTCTCTAATGAAACCTTCAAATTTCGATACCATCCACCCAAAACATCAACAGTCTTTCTCCCTCCCTGGATTTTGCCCCAACCAGTCACTGACTAGATAATACAACTTATATATACAAACAAGAATTTCTAAAGGTTAAAAGTGCTATTCCTAGAGCCACTTGTATCCATACCGATGGCTCTAGGGGACCTGACGAAAGTACCTCTTTTTCCTCGACCCTATTTTTTCTATTTTTCTATTTCTTCAACCAACTTTAGCGCGGTTAAAGCACCAACCAGCTGCTATAGATTAATTAGTGAAGGCAGCTGGAACCATAAGGGAAATAATATAGGACACTCGAAAATTCTACATTTATTGAGTAAGGTCAACAACCAACTACTGGGTATAAGCGATAAAAAGGTGAAAATACCTTTAGGGAAAAAGTACTTTCAGGTAGTTAGTCCCTGTGACTATAACTATAGGTCTGATGATGACCATCGTAGCCTAGACTGCTTCACCGATGGCTCACTCATTAAGGATAAGGGAAGCGGTGCTGGAATACACATACCCAATTCAGGGATCAGCATCTCCTCTCCTCTTGGTAATAACCCCTCGGTCTTTCAGGCAGAGGCCTGGGCCATTAATGTTTGCTGTAGAACACTTATGGATAACAAGATTAAGGGAAAAGATATTAAAAAATTTTCCGACAGTCAGGCCAGTCTAAAATCATTACAAAAAGAACTATCAACATCTAGACTGGTAGAGGAAACCGTTGAACTCATTAATAGGACTATCACCAGGTATGAGAATAGGGTAACCCTCATATGGATACCTGCTCATAAGGGGCACTATGGCAATGAGGAGGCGGACAGCTTGGCCAAGGAAGGATCAAATACTGCGTTTGTCGGGCCACAACCGGTATTACCCCACTCTTTAAGCACAGCAAAAGAGAGTATAGGTAGCTGGGGCATGAAACAATTCCTTAAGGAATGGAATATGTCCCCCGGATGCAGGCAATCGAAGGAGTTTCTGAAGGAAATCAAACCTAAAGAAACGAAATGGTTACTCTCTAACTCTAGGAGGGGAATAAGGAGGCTGATAGGTATCCTAACGGGCCATTGCCCCTTGAGAAGACACCTCTTCATAATGGGTACTCTACCAGACCCCTTCGGCCGCTTCTGCGAAACAAAAGAAGAAACGGCTCAACACTACCTCGCAGAATGCGATAGGTATGCTAGGGAAAGATTTAATATTTCGAAGGAGAGGACATAACCAAAACACTCCCCAGGATAAAATGGTCCACAATCCTGGGGTTTGTGAATAGGT